CTTTATAACCGATAATTCTTTTAGACAAACTCCTAACAGTGAAACCTTTTTATACCCTGAACCCATTAAAAATGGGTAAAAAGGGTATATTGTCTTTGTGCAAAATACAAATGTCTGTAACTGGCAGAAGGAAGCATCTCCGACCACATTTATTCTTGATCAGCATCAATAGCCGAGTCGATCTAGCCATATCCGTCTGCCTGTCCGTATGTATGAACGCAAGGATCTCACAATCTATAAGAGCTAGAGACTTGAAATTTTAGATGTAGCAAATTTTGTAAATAATAACAGCTAGATTTATGTCTTTTTTAGTTTCTTTTTTATCATAAGTACTTAATAATTGGTGTGGCTGCTTAGTAGAGGTTTTTTTTTTTTTTGCTGGTGTGGCTGTTGAGTATAGTCGACAGCAAGTAATGCTCAGTTGCGAGTTTGAACCCTGCCAAGGGAACTTTTTCGTTTTTAATTTATTTGGTGCTGGAATAAGAGGGTTCAGGTTATTCCTTAGTCGGTAGCTCCCGACGAGAACCTCTTGTTTGAAAGTTGTAATCGAAAAAAAATTCAAACTTTTTTAGCAGGTGCATTTTTCGTCAATGTTCAAAATTTAATATTGAATTTACAAAATTGATAAAATCTAAGAATATAACAATATTATTTCGCTCGAATGTTTTTCTGCATGTTGAATATTAATATTATTTTAAGCAGTAAGCACAACATAAACTGCATACACTTTCATGTAAATAAATATGTTGTTCGAAGCGTTAATACAATAACAAAAAAATAATAAACAAAACTAAAAAAAACTAGCTGTTTTAAAAACAATTTGCTGAGTGTAGAGTTCAGGCTGGAAAAAAAGTGTATGATTTCATGAAAAATGCAAAATACAAGCAAAACAAAACAAAGCACTTTAATGCAACGGTCAAGTGCATAAATAGACACACACACAGGCACACAGTCGTACATGTCAATGCATTGGAAAAATAATGTGCATATAATAAAATTAAAAATAAACAAGCTACAGACTGCTATCGAAAGAGATGGCAAAAGCTGTGGACGCGAGATAGCTGTCATAGATTTTCCTGCGTGCGTGGCTGTTCTGTCTCTTCTGTGTGTGTGTGTGTGTGCATCTGTGTTTGTGTGTACTGTTGCTAACCGCACTAAAAATGCATGTGAGGTAAACTTTTTTCGGTCGATAGAGGGCGACACGCGTTAACATTAACCAAATGCTAATGCCAAAGGCCGCTGACCACTACCCACACAAACACCCGGACACACACACACATACGTTGGCACGCATACATGCATATGCAGGGGCAATGACAATACGCAGGGGCCACCAATACGGGGACAGGAAAAATGGCAAAAAGCGAAAAAAAAAACATAAAAATAACAAAAATCAACGGCAACAATAAAAATAAATACAAAAATAGTTTACATATTTCATGCATTATATTGGATAAAATGTTAATGCCTGGCGCTCGGCATGCCTGTGTGCCTGAGTGTGTGTGTGTATGTGTGTGTGTGTGAGTAGTGTAAGCCGCGCAGTTTGGCAAAAACGTTGCCTACTTGGGGGCGCGTGTTAAAATTGTTTAACAAATGGCACGCGCGCAATGTATGTACGTGTTTGTGGGAGTGTGTTTGTGTGTGCGGCATGTATGCATAATCGCTTACAGTTTTAACTTTTTTTTTGGACTTTTTAGCCTATTTTTATTGTTAATTAAATGAGGGGAATTACATACAACAAGTGCACATGCGTGTGTGCGACATGAGTGTGTGCTAAACTTTTTTTATGCATTTTATAATTTTTTCTATTTTTTTTTTGTTTTTTTTTGCCTAACGTGGCAAAACATTTTGCGCTCGTTTTTCGCATGTAATTTTACTAATTGATAGTGTGAGCCATTTGAGCAGCACCCGACAAACCGCCGCTCATCACACTCTTCGGGCTGCACATGCGGCATGAACAGTGCTTCCGTGGCTTTTCTGTGCGTGTGTAATTGTGTTAGTGCACAGTATGTAGCTGGGCAGCTGAGCAAGTTGACTGAATGCATAAAACCAAAAAAAAAACAACAAAAAATAAACGCAAATGTAACTAAAAATTGCTGTGAAATATAATAAAAGAGGCATAACGGGGGACGAGGTGCATTGGATAGGGGTAGACGCCTAAGAGGCAGCAGCAATTTAATGCAGCACACACATGCATCCACATGTTATGCGTGCGCTAATAATAAACGCAGCGCAAAAAATAATGCATACTTGTGTGCGCATTTCCGTTCATTCTTTTTATATAATTTTATGTAAGCAGAGCCTTTTTTCTGGCTAGGGGGCGCAGCTACGCGTCTTCTTTTTCGATTAATATTGAATATATTTTTAAGGCACAAAAACAGATTATCGATAATCTTGAGTTTTAAATTAAACTAATATCTTGATGCAGATAAGTTCGGTTTACATTTGCATATAACTTTTTTACGAATACGTATATTAATCGTGTCGCATATTTGTCAAAGGCAATGATAGCATTCCTCATATAGAAGTAATTATCTTAAAATTGCATTTTTCCTAACTGCATTATCGAATTAAAATCGCATCAACATAATTGCACTGATTTCACACAGCATAATTTAATAACGTCATGAAGCGAGAAACATATAAGTATACCCCATCTACTACCTGCCCATACTCTCGCACATAATTTTTTGGCCAAAAACAAAAAATTGCAAAAATAACACTTGCCCCTCCTCTTTCAGAGTTAAAAAGCAAAGCCAAAAAAAACGAGAAAGCAGGCCAGCGCACACTAACATGATAGGCTGACTGCAGCTGTACCTGACACATGCACACACACAGGCAGACACACGTGCACATGCTATATACTATATGGATACGTAGATGTGGCCAGTCAAAGGCATTAAAGAAGACAAAAAAGTATATGCTGCTACTGCTGATGCTACTGCTGCTACAACACAGATGCGAGTGCCAAGTGAAGTAATTCCAATTGAAGCTTTAGCTGCATTGGCAACAACAGCAACAACAACAACAAGGACAACAAGGAGACTGCCAAAGCAGCGCCGTTGAAAAAATGCCAAGTGTGGGTAATTAAAAACGTAGCAACAGACCAGCAGACGCTTTTGAGCGTAGAAACGCACTAATTTTCAGTAGTGCAGCTCACACACACGCACACACTCATAAATTTATATGCATGCGTGTGCGCTACAAAAAGAAACATGAATTTGACACACACACACACACACCCGTACACACCCACACTCGCAGAACTGTGAATTCACTCGCACGCAGCGGCTGCTACAAAAAATGTTCACAGCATACTTTTAGGCATGCTGCTATTTCACTTCGCCTCGCACAAATGAACACCTCCTCGCCCCTGTGCTGTTGCCGTTACTGTTGTTGCTATTGTTGCTGGCTTTTCAGCAGCGTCATCAACATCATCAGTCGCCTACACACACACACACACACACACACACACCTACAAGCAAACGCACACACACTGTCCCTCATCAGCGCACGCTGCAAAAGCTGTTAGCTCCGCACCACAATTTGTGGGCGTTCTGGGTGTGGCATATCTGGCCGACATATCATTCGTCCAATGGACAACAAATTTTCGTTGCCGTTCTTGCTGCGGCTGTTGCCCAAAAATATACATAGCACCAACAACAATTACAACAATTTTTGCTATTCCAACATACATATTATTTTTTGCTTTTCTCTCGGGGCGTTGTTCAATTTACTTTCATTTGTTCGATCTTTTTAACAAACAAAAAAATACACACACTTACGTATGAGCAGCATATTGCATAAATTCTTAATAGTTTTTAAATGTTTGCCGTTTTTTTCCCCTTTTCTTTTAATTCCCCTTAAGCTTATTTTATTTACTAAATACAAAATATTTATGTTATTGTTTTACTAACGCACTTGATATTTTGGTGCTATTCAAATGCTAACCTTACAAAGAAGCTCAATAAAGCTGACTAAATTATAAACTCTGTAGGTTAGCGCAACATACCTGAAAGTGTGCGCATAATATAATCGTTCCACAATATATTTTTATTTACTTGTAAACTTTCAAGTTAATTGTTTTTCATAATCTCTAATGTCACCTTTTAGAAAAATGGGCATCTGTACGGATAACTATGCAATACAGATTAAAAGTCTTAGAATATCAAGCATGGCAAGCAACTAAATGTCTGTTGTATGAAGAGCTCATTTAATTTAATTTTTTATTGACATGTGCAAAGTATAAATGAAAAATAAAAATAAAGTAAGCATATTCGAATGTTACGACATTTGCAGGTTTTCAGCTTAAACAACTTTTAAGCTTCCAAGAAACTCTCTCTTTAAGAGCCCACCCGGTAATATGTCCCACGCATATCACTAACTTAACGCTCCGAAAATCTGATGAAAGCCACCTGCCACTGGTCAACCAACAATATGAGAAAAAAGCAAAACCGTTAAAAACAATAAGCTCAATTAGCTGCAATTAACACGCTGACGATTACAGGCACTCTCTCAGAAACACACACACATGTACTCTCCCACACACACACACACACACAAGCATACTGGTCGATGCATATTTGACATTTTATGAGCAGCTGCAGCATCTGCTGGACGCAGCTTGAGTATCATTAACGCCCTTTCTGTCCAGTTCTGTTTCTGGCCAAGTGCGTTGGCCGCCAAAAACTGAAGTTGAATGAAATGTATAAAAAAAGCACTTGATATGGAAACAGGGCACAGGGCGCAGAGCACTGCGCACGGCGCGAGGGGGAAGGAACCGAGACGGGTCGAATGAAATTCGAAACTTTGTTGCAAACAAATCAATTGGAAAATTGTAAACAAAGGCCGTCACATCGTTGTCCCGAAATGTTGTCAACACTTTGCTGCACGGCCAATTTACGCAAGGCCGTCGGCCAAAATATTGTTAAGCCTTATAGCCTTAACTTAATAGTTAAGTACAATGCAAATATCAGCGGGAGCAAAGGGGCTTCACTTACCTGCGGGCACATTTTGCATTGATACTTGCGTCCACTGCCGCCGGCGGGGGCATGTCCACCGCCAGCGCCCACACCGGGACCGCCCATTTTGCTGGCATTGATCGGCTGCGGGACGACGAGCAGCGCGGCAGCTGATGCAGCTGCCACTGCATTGTTGTGATGATGCGCTGCGGCCGCAGCGGCGGCGGAGGCATGGTTGCCATGATGCGAGCCACCGCCAAGGCCAGAGTTGCCACCCCCAGGGCCAGGGCCAGAGCCATTGACGGCGCTACCAAGTCCCAGGCTGCCTGTTGAGAAAATAGATTAGATAATTATTAATGAAAATTAAATAAACTATCAGTTAAGAGTGAAATGGAAATTTAAATTTAAGGAGAATGCTTTAAAAATATAGAGATTTTCATCCCATTAAAGAAGTTCTTGATTTGTCATTATAAATTGTATTTAACTTAACTTAAAGTAAAATTGTCGTTGTCTCACTCATTTCTCTCTATATATACAAATCAGTTTCTCTCATATTAAAAATAGATAAGAAAAAAATGATTTTACGTGTAAGATATATACATATTTAAAATAAATTCTACACGGAACGGAGTATCTCCTAGGCTTTCTATCTAGTTATATGTGCATGTTAAGACAACCTTAGTTCTAGTTTGAACTTAAATAACATCAAAATCTTTCTGAATTTAGACTGGACTTTTTAAAGCTTTCTCATCGTTGCAATTTATGTTTCTTAGTTTTTTCTTTTAAGTCCTTAACAATAGTAAAAAACATGAAAAGCATTAGAAAACTTGTTGACAAGTGTTGCAGGACCTTAAAAGGTAAAACTTTGACTTGCGGTTTTAGGACTTACCTTGTCCGGCGACCGCCGCATGATGCTCCAGACGGTTGTCATCCAGAAAGTGACCTGCAATTGAGTTGTTTGCTTCAGTTGCTGTTGAATTGTGTCAGCTGTGGCGCCATCTAATGTTGCCACGGCTGTCAGTCGAAACGAGTCGAATTGAGTCGGGTACAAGTCATGCCGCGCGTCTCTGTTGAAGTTGCCGACGTTCACTCACATCACGTTGCCGCCAGCCTGCTACCTGCCACCTGCCACCTGCCACCAGGCCAACAGCTTGCCACTTGCCCCCCCCGCCCATATTCCTGCACCGCGACGCTCGCTGGCTTCTCTAATTAAACTTGGCCGCTCTGATTGCCACTGGGAAATCGCGCGCGAGCAGAGTTCCAGTTTATGTGAAAATAGTTTCACAATTTTTATATTTTTTCAAATATTTTTTATGCCTGGGTTCCATTTATCCATCTAACCCATCCATCTATCCATAATTGAGTGCCTGGCGCATTTGCGTGCAAAAATTGTGTGAATCTGTTGATGAGGTAAAATGCTGAGTCTGGCCAGTCTGGAGAGGATTACCGACTGCTACAGTTGGACCAGCCGAGGCAGTTGCGGCAACTGAGGCAGTCGACGCGCCCCGTTGGCATGTCAAAAGCATTTCTAATAAAACATTTGCAGACAATTGTTGCCACCAAATTGGTAGCAAAGGCTACTCAAGTTGTTCAACATTTTTAGTGTTAATTACAGGCGGGCGAATGGCGCCAGCTCCGCAAAGTTGTCCAAACTGAATGAACGCGCACAAGCAACAGCCAGGCCAACAGATACACTCAAAGAAAATCAGAGTTATCAACTTTGTGAAAATATATAATCAAAACTGAGGTTAAAATAAGGACTTTATTGAAAAACCCTTTTTAAAAGGACAGTTTTATAACTATTTTGAATGAACTCCTTGCCAAAAATCCAATCGAATCCGTTTAAAATGTTGCTTGGAAGGAGTGGAATGGAGTTTAACAATAATATACTTTATCTACAATTTTATTCAGTTTGATTAAGATTTAATTTCGAACCAACTACCTGCCCTGGGATTCAGTTTGTGAACCTGGCTTTCCAAATCCTGGGCTGCATTTGGCTCAAAGCATATTTTAAACATTTTTTTTTATGTCCGCTCTACGGAAAATATTGTATATCTTGCATATTTTCATATAGAAATTGTGGGCTATATTTGATTTCTACCATGAAAGATATATATCTAGCATATTTGATATAAAAATGAATATGTTAGATGTTCCAATGATTGGGACTGAATACACATTGTTTTTTATATACTTAAGCTCTTTTATTAAGCTTATAAAAATGTTAAATGAAAAATAGATCCGTTTGATTTTTAATTTTGCTTTCATGAAATTCCACGCCCTTTTCAAAAAGTCATTGATATGGAGCCCTATTAAGGTTGTGGCTGATAATTTCCCACAATTTATGATTCATATATATATAATATTATTATTAATATTATTATTATTATAATTATTGTTATTAATATTATTATTATTATAATTATTGTTATTATTATTATTATTATTATTATTATTATTATTATTATTATTATTATTATTATTATTATTATTATTATTATTATTATTATTATTATTATTATTATTATTATTATTATTATGATATTATTATTATAATTATTATTGTTTTTGTTATGGTTATTAATATTAGTATTATTGTTGTTATTATAATTAGCAGTAATATACTATTATATTTTTCATTCTTATCATTGGTTATAACCAAAAACCAATTTGATTTTAGTTTTTTTCAGTGCAGCAATATGAGCTACGACATGCTAGTTGCAGTCAGGCAAAGTCTTAGTCCAGTCTCTGAGTCATGGCCAACATAGTTGAAGCCGTCCGTATTGTTAATTTGTACAGGTAAAAGCCAACAGGCATACAAGTAAAAGCCAATGAATCGCATAGATACATCTACATCTACATTGTTGCCCGCAATGTTGCTGCTGATGCTTATCGCAACAGCAGCAGCAGTAGCAACATCAACAGCAGCAACAGCAACAACAATGTTATTGGCCAATTGCCTAGCGTTGACATTATCGGGTCGAGATCATTGCCGCCAACGGAGCTACTAACCCGATATCGAACCCGTTTACCGAAAACCCTTTTGGAGCGTGTTGCTGTCAATGTTGCCGCCGTTGCTGCTGCTGTTGTTGTTGTTGCTGTACACAAAGATGTTGTTTGCATTTTAGGAATTTATGTAAACATGTTGTAAGCATCTTGTTGCCAATTGTTGTTGTTGTTCTTGTTATTGCTGCTGCTGTTCTTTCAGTTAAAGGTCAATTTTTCGTGGGAGTATCTGGGGTGTATCTGTCCTTTGCTGAATGGGGCCACATTGTCCGCTCGCCTTTGTCTTTGCTATCATCATGCCGCACGCGTGTTGCAATTTAACTTTTATATGCAACGTATGCATTTTTCGCTTTAGATTGCAATCTGAAGTCGCGCGCGCTCTCCCTGAAACCACATATCTGCTCGAGATTCGTGATTATCGTTTGTTGTTTTTGTGAGCAATTAATTAAGCATCGGAGCAGTGAGCTAAGCAACTGGAAGTCTCAGTTACCTGGGTCAGCTATTCCAGTTTTGGGGCAGGTCATTGTATTAGGCCAGAGTAGTGGCGGTTTCGATACGGTTTGCTATCTTTACTCACCTTTTTGCAGATTATTGTGATGGTGGTGATCATTCATTTTGGCCTGAAAAGTAAATGAAATCAGATGGCATTGAAGGGTTGGCAGAATTAAAAGCAGAGTACATTTATAAAGAATACGTCTTTATATGAATAGAAAACCAACCTCTTTCTACAAAAAGGTCCTGAGTGTTGTAATAAGTAGTTGTTGAAATGCAACTAATATTGACATTTGTAAAGATCTTTAAATAGAGAGTATTTATGTGTAGTCTTGAATCTTAAACACTAAATTAAACAATCTTCTTTTTAACAGGAAGCCGCATTAGAGCTTTGAGAAATTTTTAAGAAATGTTTAATTAGCTATCCCAATTAAATTTATTCCACTGCAATAAAAGTTAAACTATTTATTCATCAAACTCATCGACGTTCCTCCAAATTAAATTGAACATAATATAAACAACATTAATTTTATTCTTGACTGCACAACTTCAATTTAGGAAACCACTCAAAAACCTATAATTTAGATGACTTTTTAGCGTGCAGTTGTTTTATAAATTCAATGAACAATTACCAATTAATAATCATTAAATAACCGCTAGTTTCATTGAAAGCCAATCAAATGCAACGGTCAAAATAATAAAATAAATTTCTAATGATTGCGCATAAAAGGCCAAAATTGAAATATTAACGAATTAAAAAGGTCAACAATCGAAAGCAACATCAAATGAAATGAATGCCATACAAAATACAAAAACATGAGTATCTAAGCCAAAATATTGTTGGGCAAACGTTTTCAATGTGGTTGTCAAAACGATTTATGGCCAACAAAGACCCAGACAAATATCTGACAATCGCCACAAAATTCAAATTGAATGCGTGACAAAAATTCGCGTTGAAAACAAAACAAAATCAAAACGAGAAAATATAAATAAAACTAACGCGAAAAAAAGTAAACAAAAATCACATAAAAATAGAAAAGGAAAAGGCGGAATAACATGAAAAATTTAGCTGCGGCTTCTGCTCTCGATTGCATGTAAATTGTGAATATGGGTTAAAGGCCTCGAGACTAGCTCTCACTCTCACTCGTTTGCCCTCTCTCCTTCCCTCTTTTTCTCTTTCTCTCGCTCACCGCCTCTGTGCCAGACATGACCTACGACAGGGCAAATAAAATGAAATGTATTCCAAAACACCATCACAAAAAAATTCTCTCTAAATAAAAGCCGCGTCTGCTTTTGCCTAAACATATTCGATATGTTTAGAAAAAAAAAACAGCCAAACAAGGCAAAAGGTAAAAAACCAAAACAAACTGCCAGAAAAATGCAACAAGAAAATCCAGACCAACAACTACAACAACAAGCAAATACAGTTATTTGTATACAATATTGCACACAGCAACGAACCTTAACCTGGCTGATATGGTGGGGTCTAAATAAAAACAACAAATCCGGAAGCAAACGACGAGTCGCGCGAATTTTAGAAAATTTTATTTTTTTGACTTTGTCTGTTGTTGTCGTTGTTGTTGCTGCTGCTGTTGGTATCGTTTTTATGCATGTGGCATACAGCAATGCCAACAATCTATGGACATTTAACGGCACTTGCTTATGCCACTTAAACCACTTGCACCACTTACCTCGTATTCCTGTTTCAGGGACATCGGATGATGCTCGCTGGCATGCTGATGGCTGCGCGGCGTCGGTGGCCAAAGATTGTAATCGCTAATATCCTTGGCATGCTGCATGAAATGTAGTCATAAAATTTAAAATAGAATAAGAACAAAAAGATGAGCAATTAGTTTATTATAAATTAGATTAAAGACTAGCAAAAGTTCTGCCAGAATAATTGCCCTCTAAAGTAAATGCCTTAGAAGGAAAAAATCAATGGAATATCAATTTGAAATATATATTTAATTTTAAAGGCTTTTTAAATATATTTTACTTGTTTGTAATATTTAATTTGTATATTTAATTTTAATTTATTTTAAAGTAAGATAATTATGCTTTTCTCTTTGCTATTATTGTATTTCAATAACAATTCGGTATAAAGTGAAGTAGAGCCTAAACAGGGCTTACTAATAGAGATAAAAGAAAAATGCTCACATTTTTATATATTTTCAGACAGATTTATTATTCTTTTTTTTCTACTCAAATTCACTTTCTAGTTTAATTCTTGACTATACCATTCTTTGAAACTCTATATATTTAAAAGCATTTTTATATTTGTATTAAAATTGAATAATTTTACACAACTGAAAGTAGTTCAAGAATTCCATGAATAAAATATTCAACAAAAATTTCACTTGAACTGAAATCAATTAAAATTCCATATTTTTTTTAGACTCACTTGAACAATATCTACCCATTTATCTAGAGGTAATATGAGTTTTTAAAATAATAAATATATATAGAAAAAACTAAAATTTATAGAAATAAACATATCTTTGGACTTGTCACAATTTGAAACCGCTGGCAAATAAAATTGAAGTGACAATAGCAAAAAAAAAGAAGTTATATATAGGTATGTGTAGTTATTTATATATATAAATATTGGGGGGTGTCAATTGAAATAGAAAACCGCGTTACACACAATCGAAGGTGTCAAAGCGTCGGCGTTGGCGAGCGGCAAAAATGTGGCGGCGTTTGCTGCTGCCAACAAAAAGGGTGAAGAAAAATGTGGAGGAAAAAAGTGTTGCCTAGCGCAAGGGGAGTTGCAACGGCGTGTGAAAACGCAGCAGCGTGTGTGCTTGTGGGTGTGTGTGTGTGTGTGTGTGTTTAAGCCACGTAACGCTAGTTTTTGTTGGTTGTACAGCACCCAAACTCTGCAGTAGTGTTGGAAAGCGAGTTGTGGGCTGGGAATGTGTGTGTGCGTGTGTGTGCAGCAACGACTAGTTAGTAGGTGGACAAACGAAAAAGTAGAAGAAATATCTACAAAAAATGCAAACACAGCTACACACACACTAACACACACACACACACACACACACACGCACACTCTCAAACACGAACGTGCAATGCTGCGTTGGCAGCTGCTGATGAAGATGACCAGAACCAGAGCGAGCTTCAGCGCCCAGCACATGAACGGAAGTGCTCTCTAACCAACACGCCAGCCAGCGACAGCAACAACAACAGCAACAACAACAACAACAACAGCAGCAAGCTGTAGATGAAGGCGTCGCATGACCCACGCCAGCTTCCGGCCAGCCCCCGACGCTGCGTTCTGCAGCAGCAGCATCACGCAGCAAAATGGAACAAAACGAAATTTCAAAAAAATTCCCAAGGAAAAGTGGCAAAAAAAATTTGTAATATTGGTACAGCGCAGCAGCATCGCGCGCCATTGCTGTCTCGCTCTAACCACCGCGGGCTATCGTCTCTTTTCTCTCTCTCTCTCTCGCTCTCTCTCTCTCTCTCTCTTCCGCTGACCAGCGCCAAAACATTTGGAAGAGCAGGGAAAAGGTCTTCATTACTTTTTTTTTGCTAGTGGAAAAAAATCAAAACAACATTTTTTTTAACCCCTTCGCAGCGGCAGCGACGCCGACCGCAGCGTCGGCTCACTCTCTGGCAGCATTTTGACCGCTGGGTGGTGCAGTTTCTATGTCCAGTACGCTGTCTAGTAAAATAAAAAAAAGAACAGGAAAAAAACAAAAAAGAAATTGCAAAAAAATTAGGCGGAAAACGTGAATTTTTTCGCAATTGCAGCTCCGACAACCGGAGCCCCAAACCCCGTACGAAACGCGTTTTGCACATTGTAGCAAACCTTTTTGGCCATTCCAGACTCCAGCTTCAACATTTTGTTTACTGTAGCCTTTTTTTATGTTTTTGGGAAATTTTTAAAATTTTTTTTGGATTTTTTTTTTTTTGCATTTTGGTTCTATTTAACTTCTTCTTTTGCCGTCATCTTTTTATTCATGCCGCTGCTGTCTGGTTCTATTGATTTTTTTCGCATTCAGCGTCGGCTAGGAAAAAAACATTTTCTGTATTGTTCAATGCTCAAATGTTTTACTATTCCACCCCACCCCCCCAAAAACCACCATAGCCTTCCCCATACAACACCCCTTTACTGTCGCCTGAGGTTAGAATTTCGTAGCTATTGTTGCTGTGCACAAATTTGTTCAACTTTATTGCAATTACTTTAAAAATTGAAGTTGCCAGCGGTTTTCGCGGTTTTCGCGGTTCTTTTTTTCGGCGCCCTCCCTCCGCCCAAACAGCGTAGGAGTGGGGCACACCCACCGGCCATTGGCGTTTCGAATTCGTATTGTATCAGCCCTGACAACTGGCCCCATTAGTCAGTTTCAGTCCAGTTTTAGCCTCAAACCATGTTGCGCGTTTGCCCCGCTTGCCCTTTCAATTTTCACTTTTCCTGCTCTTTTCTACTTTAGTATTTTTTATTTTTATTTCTCTCCTTCGCTTTTCACTTTAGCGTCACGTTGACTTTTTTCTAATTGAAGTATATAAGTATTAATTGCAATGCTTTGTTGTGAGGCGTGCTGTGGTTTAGGGTCTTTCCTTTGGACGCCTGCCACTGTTGGCTGCACATTGGAACAACAAGCCTCAATGGCTTTTTAATTGGAATCTTAAAGTGAATCAGCTAGGAATTTACCAAATGTTTTACATTGCTTAAAGTCAAGCATCTACATTTATTATATATGTAAGGGCATGAAAGGTGATCAACAATTGTTTGCGGAATTTTCTGTTGGTGTATTTAAGCTGGAGGATAGCTGTTTATTATATTAAGTTTATCTACAAATTTTACTGGGTATCTTATGGATAACACAGGCTCAATATATTATTATTGCAGCTCTACTTAGGAATAAGGACACTTGATAGCCTTTTAAATATATTAAGCCGCAACCTTTATTCTCAATTTTTTTATTTTAATAAAATACTATTGAGCTAAATATTTTATCTATTCCAATTTATTACCTTTATAAATAAGGTATATATTTTTGCTGTGTACTCCCCATAATATTTTAATGTTAATATTCAAAAACGATGAAGATAATATCTTTAAAATTGATTGGCACGCAATACATGCATAAAAAGGCTAATAGTCTTTTTATTTTAACAAATGCATGCATCTTTCTTAGTTTCACAATCCCCCGCTTTCGTCTTCAATCAACTCTCCTCTAAAAGTGACTCTCCCCCATATCTCAACACTGTCAAGCTTGTGATGAGTAAATTGATAAGAAAATTTACCGCTGACTAGCAGCTAATTCGACCTATAGTAACCCTTAAAAAATACTGGATACAGCAGCGTGTTACAAAACTGAAGAGTTTTTAATGAAGAGAAATATATCCGTGCCAGTAAGAGTACGTATATAAAGTGCACTTCTTATTTACTATCTCTACTTTATGATTACTATACTATATTTACTATTCTTTTCTATATACTAAAAGAATTCTACCCTACATTCTTCGTACGTTCAATAAAACTCTTAATAGTTAAACACAATATATATTAATTATAATATATATATATTTAAATGAAGCACATTTTCATTTCTTCGTTTGTTTCAAGACGAAATCAATTTCAAGTTGGGTTACTTGTCAACTTAGCTCTGAGAAAATTAAGTGCAATTCCATTCAAAATTAATTAGTAAACTCTGCATTGCCCCTCTTTCACACTCACCCTCCTCTCTCTTGCGTCTGTTTTTCTCTTCATCTCTCTCTCTTTCTCACTCTCGTTGTTGCTATGTGCCGTTCAGTCAACAGCTAACTAATTTAACTAATGCAAGTGACAACATCAAGTCCAAGATTTTGCCTCGTTGATTGTTGATTTTAAGCTCCGCTTGTTCATGGTTGAAGTTTAAAAAATTAATTAACTGCGGATATCCTTTAAAAATCATTCGACAGGGTCGTCGCACGAGTTCTAAATTGCTTTCTTTACAGGGGCAAAGCACTCGATAACAAATGATTTCCATTGTGGGATGTGCACGGGACGCGGGGGAGACCTTTTCCAGCTGCAGACACGCTCGACCCGTCGTTGTCCTTGGAGACAATCAATCTCCATTCAAAACAATAATTTCAACGCACGAAAAAGTGAAAAGCGAGCCAATGCAAAGAACTCGACTCAGTGCAGGCCAAAAAAAAAAAAAAGAAATGAAAATCAAAACAAGAAGGCTACGAAAAAAAAAAACACAAGCAAAGTTTAGCGCGTCGCGTAAAGAAAAACTTGTTTACATCTTGAAAAACGAAAAAAAAAAAGGAAACACGCGAAAAATGCAACAAAAAAGAAAAAAGAAAAAAAACTCGAGGAACTTTTTTTACTGCGTGGCACGCGAAGCCAAACGCAGTCAAGAGCAAGGATATTCATGAAAGGAGCAGCAGGAAAGGTACGAGAAAAAGTTGTGTGTTGCGGGGAAAAAAGGGACAGCAAAAACTGGAGGATGGTGCTCAAAGGACACGCTTTTTTTTAACGTCGCGTCTGCTTGCCTAGCAGAGCAGGGGACAGCGCACTTGGTTAGCTGAACTTAGGACTGGAACTGGCCATGGGAAGGGGAACTGCGACAGGCTCTACCTCTCCCGCTCGTTCGTGTGGCAACAGACAGCAACGGTTTGGGTTTGGTCAGTTGCCGGCCGAAGTTTGTCGAGTGAAAGTGCAGAGGCTTGGCAGCGACTGCCCAAACGAGCTTAGTGGGTATGACGGGGGCTCGATGGGGGATGGAGGCCAGCTGAGGTGTTGCCAATAGAGGGTTTGGGGGAGACGCGGTAATGAGCTGACCTGAAGCTGCGCGCTGCTGTACGCTGCCCTGGAAAGGTACTTGCATTTGTAGTAGATCTTTGCGCAGGCCTTCGTCTTGCAACACTGCTAATTGATAAGGCGACTTGCAATACTTGAACGAAATGTTGGATCAATGAGTTTGTATAAAATCAACTGCAATATCTTCCTTGTTGTACTCTCAATTAAGCTTAAGTTTTAAGTGCATGAAAGCATTTCCTGTTTAAAGTAGTTTCGTGGAACCAGTGCTGTAAAACGAGGTTTACGGAATCGAACTTAAAGGCAGGGCATTGACTCAAGCCGTAGATGATTCAAACTGTAGTTATTTTAGCTAAGCAGTCATGCTTATTTTTATATTGAACAATATTATAAACTTGCAAGTAAGCTTTGAAATAAGACTAGCTTTAGCTGAGACAAATTAACCTAAGCCAAAGGCTGTTCGAATTGTAACCGGATCCTGGTTGCGCAGTCGCCTAAATGACCGGGTCGCTAGGATAACTGGTCTTTGCCTGAGCTGATGAAACATGAAACGTTTTGAAAGTTGACATATATTGAATTGTTCTGGAAAACAAGCCCCTAAGTTAACTACCATCAGCTGACATATTTTTAACCCGATAATTGGCGTAACGAAAATTTAAATTAAATCGAATTTTCTTGCCTCCTAAGGGTATTCTTTTTTAACTTGTCAATGAACACACTCTGTAATAACAACCCAACTATCCCATTGCTAGCTGCTCTGCTCTTTCTTTTAAAGCTGCGCTCATTTAATTCACTTAGCGCGACAAGTTCCAGGTCATATTAATTATGAGCACTTCCTTTTGGCCACTTTCAAACTCCTCCAAGCCGCCCACATTTAACACCGCTATAGTCGAGCGTCTTTCGTAGGCACCAGTCAGCGCCCACATCAGCTGCCAAATGCAGAATCGAGTGGCCAACTTTGGGCAAAGTTCGCGAAAGCCAAAAAGTAAAAAAAAAGCCTGTGAAAACTTTAAAAATATATAGGTTTTTTTTTGCTGCAGCTGACAAACAGTGCTCAAACGCCATGCCCAGTAAGACTAGGCAGGAGGGCAATTGGGATTCGGATACTCACATCGACATTCCCATTCCACATGTAGTGCATGCCAACGGCAGCGCCGGGATCGTGATGCGTCTGTCCGGTCATGTGCTCGGCCATCACGGCGCTCATCCAATGGACCAGGCCCTGGGTGGGATTCTGTCCCTGCACGCCGCCGATCGGCATGTTGACAGCGGCGGCAGCAGCGGCGGCAGCGGCCACAGCGGCAGCAGTTGCGTTGTTGTTGTTGTTGTTGTTGCAGTTGTTGTTGCTACTGATGCTGTCGTGAGTTTTGCAGGTGGCAGCAGCTGCTGATGGCTGAGCGTTGCCTGTTTCCGGTGGTGATTTTACGGAATTGCCGTAGTTCGTACGCGTCTGGGTTGCGGGCTGATTCAAATTAATTGCGGAACCAGCGGCTGTCGCTTGGCTGGCGTCCACGGGCGGCGTTGGCGGCGTCGCTGGAGCAGAGCTAGGCAATAGTCCTGATCCAGGTCCGGTCGCGCCTGTTTGGTGTGAATTGTGTTGATTGTTGTTGTTGTTGACGACTTCGCTTTGCGGCCCGTTGCTCGTTGACCAGGCGTAGCCGTTAATGCTGTTGTTGTTCTGTTGGGGTTTCTGCAAAGTACAAAATTTGTTGTTTTGTTTTGTTTGAAAAGGGTTTTTCATATTTTTCTTGTTAGCCCAAGCATTGAGCATGAAATATTAAATGATTTTTTGATGATTTTTTCTTGTAGTTGTTGTTGCTGCCAAGAAAAAATCTATTTTTTTTTGGGCTACCCATAATTAGCGTAAACAAACAAACCCAATTTTAAATTTTTCTTGCGCTTCTTTTCATTTAAGGTAAGGGCTCAACACAAGTTGGAGACGGGTCGCATTTTTTTATATATATTTTAATTGGATTTTAAAGCCAATTATGTCTATTCAGATGGGCTGTGAGGGGACTGAACGCATGTTCGCGTTTATATCTATGGAATTTAAGTTTTATATCACCTCAAAGCAAAGTTGTAAAAAGTTAGAGCTAACTATGGCATACAAATATATTTTAATACCCTTTTCGCGGCTTCTTTCTTAGAAAGTGTCGTTCAATAGTAGCAAGAAAATATGAGAAATTCCTATAGTCAGATTTAAGCAACAGCCCAATCAAAAATATTTAACTCAATGTAATTAAAAAGAAAATTTTTCGATGATTACAATAAAATCCCAATAAAATAATTCAAAACAAGTCAGAGGTTCTAGTCTGGAGCTCCCGACTAGGGGATACCCTGAACCCTCTTCTTCCAAAATCAAATACATATATATATTCTATTTTAGAAGTTATATGTCAAGTTTGGTGACTAGCTCTTATTATTTACCAAAAATGCCCAAAAAACACGATATCGATATCGATTTTTATCGATTGCTTGGAAACGGAGTAAGTTATCGATTATCGGAAACAATCTCGATCTGAAGGATATACATACTTTATGGGGTCGGAGATGTTTCCTTCTGTCTGTTACATACATTTGTATTTTGCACAAATACAATATACCCTTATACCCATTTTTAATTTGTTGAGGGTATACAAATGTGTCTAAAGGTGAAGCAGACGCAGCAATATTTGAAACAAAAAAATATAATTCCAAATATCTTTTGTTTTTCAATTGTTCTTATTTGTAGATTCTTTGACCTAAATTATAAATTTTAAATCAATGTTGATATAAAAAAAAAAAACATTTTCACACATAAATCGTCAGCAGAGAATGTATGTCAATTATGTATTTATTCACACGTAATTAATAAAAACTTTTGTTAAATAGTTGCCCAACTTTGCAGACAACTTTCATACTAACATGCTCTGCCAGCGCCACATTTGAAAGTTTCTCAAGGACACGCTGCTGCGCCTTAGTTTCTGCCACATCCTGCGGCTTCAACTGGCTGCGCTTGGCTGACTCGACGGCGGCAACACAAACAGCTGAGAACAACAAATTGCTCGACAGGTGGGCTGGCGGGGGCGTGCCAGTTGCTGTAAGCTTCGCCGGGGGCGTGGGCGATGGTGTTTGCGGGTACCAGCGGCTGGCCTCGCACTGTTGTTGCTGCTGCTGCTGCAGAACGGCACTGGCCAAGAGGCTCGTATAGAATTCAGCGGGCATAAGAAAGGGCGTTGGTGCGGGCGTGGCCCCACTTAGCGCTTCCATGTAGCTGCCCAATTCCTGGGCGCGACGACGCCGCAGCTGATCCTTCAGCATGACTGGCGCTCAAATGTAGGCAACACTTTTTCACACAGTCTGTGACAATTTCACTTTCGTTCGGCGCCGCAGGGCAGGGGCAATGGTTGGTGGGAATGTGTCTAGCTCGTGCGCCGCTCGTTCGATTTACACATGCAAACAAAACTGTGACCGAGCCGCAGGCGTACAACAAAAAACAACAAAAAGTGGCAAAAAAAAAACAAAAAATAAACACAAGTTTTTGCTGGCAATGTTTTTTTTTTATTATTTCTTTGGCTAAACTTTTATTTTATACGAGGGGCCGCACGAAAGAGTTTTGTAAGCATTTGATATGCTTTATTTGTAGCTGCGACGCGTCGCATTTTTTACCCTAACACTATTTTGTATTTTTAGATGCAGTTTTGTTCAAATAAAAAATCAAAAAAACCTCACGACAAATGACCTTGAAAAAGTTTTTGTTTTTTGTTTTAGTTTTTCTATTTTATTTCGCTTTTATTTGGCATTTTAGCGGGGCTCTTTGTTTAGTTTACATTCGGTTGAGAAATTGTGTATGATTTATTTGTTGCTTTAGTTGATTTGTTGTTGTTGCATTTCCATTTGCTGCCACATTTTGTGGCAGGTTGCGTGTGATGTGTGGTGAACGCTTTTTTCCTATGATTTCATTTAGATTGTCGCAGTTTGGAGTGTACGTATTTTAGATTGGCTTGTTGGTTGTCGGTTTCATTGAAGAGCTTAAAAGTATCAAAGGGCTAAGAGCCCTACTATTTTATTGGCTAAATGAAGCTTATAGAATTTGATCTAATAAACTATAGAAAACGTATTTCTAAATAAACTCTTAACACAAAACCACACATTTTTAAATATTATATCATTAAATAAATATTTGAATATATAGCAATAACATAATTAAAATTTAATTCCTGAAAACAAAGTTTGACTTACTTATAATAAATGCCTAAAACAAAATAGTAATAGTAATATAAAAAATATTAAAATAAACCTAAACATGTATAATAATATAATTTCTCATAAGTGAAAAATAATGAATAAAAAATAATGCATTTTACGAATGAAATGTTTTTAAATATCCATACTTTTATTTTTTTTATAATTATATTTACGCTTATTATTAATACTTGGTTTTATTTTGCAGCTTCATATATATTTTTTTATGTTTTATATTTATAATTATAATTAATACTTATTTATATATATTAAAATCCCATTAATTTTGTTGAAATATTTTGCACTTTGTGCGTTTTAGGAACTTTTTGTTGCAAATTTTACACTTGTTCTTTGGTTTAAACTTTTTACATGATTATTTAATTGTTTTGCACTTTCTTTAGGAACTTTTGTTGCGGCATAGATTGCGTTGTCTAAGCCAAAACACACGATGCGCGCATTTAGCACACGCTTTGATTTATTTCCGGATACATGTCGTATACGCGACGTGCACACACATATATATGTCTGATATATATCACATGTCCGATCTTAGACAAATCGAATGCGCGGTCTCTTGTTCACACTATGCTGGAAATTGAGGCGTTAGTCGTATGCATATTACGCATAAGCCTCGTTGCAGCTGCTGCTAAACGTTGCGGCTTGTCAAGTAGTATTTGTGTGAGTGTGTGTGTATGTATGTGTGTGCGTGGGATTTTATGTCGAGTCCTTGTCTCAGTCCCGTCCGTCTCTGTCATGCAGTCAGCGAGCGTGGGATAGCTTGCAACAACTGAACAACAGAAACTCAAAGTGCAGCAGCTGAAGCTGAAGCTGCCGCAAAAGAAATTGCGAGCGCGCGCGAAGCAGTCAAATATGTATACAAAGAAATATACACAAACCCATACACACACACACACACACACACACACATACATACGTGCTGAGTGTGTGTGTGTGTAAAAACTGTTTTGTATGTTGTGAATGTTTTCTTTTTTTTCCTTGCTCTGCTGCCGGCGTCCCTGCAATGGGAGAGCAATCTCAGAGTCAGCTCGAGGTTTTGTTGTTTTGTGTGTGTGTGCATTTCTTTTTATTTCTTTTTTTTTTTTGCTTTTTATTTTTATTTTTTCTTATTTTATAATTTTTGCTCCTTGCTCCTTTTTTATGCACGCTGCCGTTATAAAGACATACATTCGCAGCGCACTGCAGCATTTTCTTGTAAGAAAACGTAGCGTATATGAAAAAAATATAGCTGAATTTGCGCGATGTCCTGCAGGCCGTGGGATGTCCTGGCAATGGGGCGCAGAGAGTCGGGGAAGGGGTGCTTGGTTTATGTTACGAGCTGGGGGTGGGGGAGGCGCTGGTCTAGTAACTTTGTGCATTTGGTGTAAGGGTTTCGGTGCCTGGGCTGCACGGCACGGCAGATTGATTTTCTTTTATACGGTTTGCTCATCTTTGTGATTTTATTATGTTTTTCTTGCTGCTATTGCATCCTATGTGCGTGTGTGTGTGTGTGTTTTTTAAAAAGTTCTAAGTACTATAGTTATTGCAACTGAAGACGCGCTGCTGTTTAACATCCTTGTATACTCTATGTATGCGACCTCCAAACAAATCAAATAAAAAATGCTTAAGCTTCAAACGAGACAGCTTTATGCAAGTGGATAAACAAATGTATGGTTCTTAGAAGTCTCAGAATAGAAACAATCCCAGAATATAACGATTAAAATACTCAAGAATATGGTATAACGCCTATTCCAAGTCTAAATCGCATTTGTCTTACAGAATTATGTGCAAATTGTGTTTTTGCTGCCAATTAATGTATCAGGGGTGTTTATCTTATCTAAAATATGCGAACGAATCAAAGCGTCAACAAAATAAATAAAATAACACAATTAAATAACAAAATTTTAAAAGAACTGACTTAGTTTTTTATTTAAAAGCTTTTCCAATTTTTTAAGTTTTTTTGAAAAGTTTAATTTTTAAGGCTATATATTTAAAACTGTACCCTAATAATATGGATTTTAGAACAGCTTAATCAAGATCTTAAAGTCTGATGTGCCATATATTGCAAAATAAATAATGCAACACAACTTAATAAAAGCCTTAAGCTCCGTTTCTGATTATAAGCCATATTTGAAAATGGCTCAAGTCTAAAAATGTGTGTATATCACTTCTTTCGAAAAGTTATACAGTACTGTTTGCCATAATAAAAATTTGTTTTTCAAACTGGTGCTCTGTAAGGTTGTAATGTTAAAGCTAACTAGATTAGACAACACTGCAGTTAGTGTTGCACTTGCAGTTATTTTAGGTAGAAGAAACCAGATTACATAACACGAAACATGGGGAATTCGAATGTGAATAGACGGTCTTAGATTCTGCTTTTAACACAGATATATTGTTAGAAAAAAGAGTGTTGAGCAGTCATCAAATAGTGCTTCAGAGGTCAGCCACTAAAACTACGAAACTAGGATCTAAGTAGCGGAAAATTCTTGAAACGATATATAGAAAGATAGGATGCAACTAAAAGCTTGACTCCACCCTGTTCAGCTGGTCCTAAGTTGGAATTTCCCACGGCTCGTCAGGTGAGTCGAGTCAAGTTGTTGTTGCTGTTGTTGCAGTTGCAGCGTGTAGCACTTGTAGCTGTTGATGGTCCTTATAATTGGGGTGTATGTGCTTGTGTCTGTTTGTTGGTGTTGTGGCGCCCGCACCTAGCATGCGGGTCAGTTGGAAAACACGCGACGCGTACGCGGCACGTCGCGCCGACGACCAATAGATTTGGCCAAACGCAAGCGAACTGAAGACAACGACAGTTGCAGCGCGCCAAAGGCCACGGACACATGCAACAATCGTGAACGTCGCAGCTGACGTCGGCTGCGCCGGAAGCAGCAGGATAAAAGCGGCGACTTATGCTAGCAGCAGCAGCAGCATGAGCAGCAACAGCAGCAGGAGCAGCAACAGCCATGTTTGTTGTAAGTAGCAGAAGCAGCAGCAAAAATGGCGCGCGCGAAGAGGAAACTCAAGAAGTAGCAGCAGCTAGGTCGAGGGCCAGTACACACACAAACACACACATACACTGACACAGACACACACACAAGCGGCACTAGCATAAAAAAATTCAAGTGAAATTGTATTTTTTTTAGCTGCCTCCACATGAAGCAAAAAATAGCAGCGACTAAAAGAAAATACATTTCAAAAGGCAGCGGCGAGTAGCAAAAAACGAAATAATAACAAAAAGTTGTAAAAGAAAAGCGAAAACCGTGTGATGTCCTGACACACACACACACATACGCATTCATATATATATATATATATATATATATATATGTATATATATATAGTGCTGGCAGCAGAAGCAGCGCGGCGACAACACATTGAAGAAAGGATAAAAACATTCAACATTCAAGCGCGCTGCGCTGCCAGCAGCGACGCCGGCGTCGACGTCAAGCGTCAGCGCTTGGCCGTTAACATTTCATGAGCGCCAATTTCTTTGCCTTCATTTTGTTTATTATATGTTTGTTGTTTTTTTTTCCTATTCTTGCTGGTTGTTATTTCTGCTGCTTGCACATTTCGAGGACTTTTGTATTTTTTCTATATTTATTTCCCAAATTCATTTCTTCACTTTTAAAGCGCATTTGCTTGTGTTTTTTTTCGAACTCTCAACTTATTTCTTATTTTTTTTTTAAACTTTTACATGTTTTATTTTATTTTATTATCCGAAATAATTGCTCAATAAAGCTATATTGTTTCTGCCATGCTTACTTTGTAGCTATTACAGTATCAAGCTACGTAGTTACCCTCCCACTGCGTCCTAAGCTGGCTTTTCTTTACTGTTTTTCCTTTTTGTTAAGCGCCTTTGAAACAACTTAACAAACGAAACAAGAAAACTTTTAGCCCGCAACTGCAAGGCTTTGGCAGCGCTGCTCGCGTCGACGTCGACGTCAAAGGCGACGGTAACGTCGTAAATGCAATGCGCACAGAAAAATACAAAAAATAAAATAAGGGAAACAGAAAACAAGTATCCTGAACCAGGACCTGAAGCATATGTTTTTATGTGCGTTGCTTTTTTATGTGCTAGGACTTCGCTTGCTGCTTGCAACGCGAATATTCCCTTTACAGCACACACGCACACACACACCTAAGCCCCCACACACACACACGCACAGCAACATATCCAAGTAATATGGTTTTTCTTCTGCATTCGCTGATAACAGCAAAGGATATGCTCCTGCCACTACTCGCCGAAGATAAACCTAAGCGTCGCCTTTGAGGTGAGCTGCGTCCGGCGTTCAGCGGATGCGAGAGTCGTCGGAGAATAACGTTGACGGATAATTGAAATTAAAGGTCAGGCGTACAGGAAATGGTTCAGGGTAAGAAGTGAGCAACATAAATGTGGCAAAAAACAAGCTTTATAAACGCCTTAGTCTATAAAATATATAATTTCGAGCCAAGGGATAATATTTACGAATATCTCTTTCAATGTTATACTATAGAAATTCTTGATTAAAACATATATAATTAATAATATTATTAATACTAAGAGATATTCACGAATGTCTACTTTTACATTATTTTACAGAAATTCTAGGGAAAACTAATCTATAAGCTAAGCACATGAAAGTAAATACAACATAAGAACAAATTATATCTTCACTAAATTTCTTAGAGAACAAATTCATAAATATTGCCCGAAAGATATTAGATGTCAACTATATTCCTCAGAAAAGCTATCTCAAATTCATTTTGGTTTCTTTATGAGGCAAATCCCTTCGTATTTTGTCATTTTCCTTAAATGTAATTTTAATGGAATAAAATTAGAAGAACAAGATTCCGAGTGAGTTAAAGTCGAAAATGAATTTATATTTAAAAAAAAATTAAGTTTTAAAAGGCAGCCTCTTAATATAATATTTCTTAGGGTTATATTATAGGTTTAAGTTGTTTAGATCTGTTTTCAATTACTCTTTTTTAATTATTTAACATTTTTCTCAAATTCATAAGAGTCTACAGCTTCACTCGTATCTCCCTTAAGTTGAAGTGCTTTTTCACCCTGACCTGTCCCAGTTTATTGAGCTGTAGACAATATGTCTCGAGTTACATTCTTAGTTTAAGTCCCTTGGAGCTGGTTTTAGCTGTTTTATTAGATTCCATACGAATCTACAGCTTCACTCGTGTCTCTATAAAATGCAAGTGCTTTTTACCCTGACCTGCCTCTATTTAACTTGCTGCGGCCAAGTCAAAGCCTCAACAAGGCTCCACAAGTTGTTTTTGTCTTTTGCCATAAAGGACATTTTGATGTCTATATTCAGACCCAACTGTTGCATACTTTCTTAACATGCTGAGCGTAGCTTAAGTAAATTCAATTGAAGAGCTTTTCGTTGAAAGCTTTAAAGCGCAACACTTTCACTGACTAATTATAGCATATCCTGTGCACGAACCAACGCAGCAAAAAATGTCCTGCGTGCACAAAAAGCCAGCGCAAGCTTTTAGGCTTTGCGCTCAAGAGCACAAAAACAAGCTCAAATGTGGCCGCGCTCTTTAAATAAAACAAAGAGCATGCGTTGCTGCCTTTCTCTCGCTCTCTTTCTCTGTCTCTCTCGCTCTCTCTCTTACTGCGTGTGTGAATTTGGGGGCGTGTTTGTTGTCATGTTTTTTACTCGCTGTCATTTTTTGCCTATCGCTTTTTTGTCTCCCCCTTTTTTTGTGGCTTTTAAGTGTTATTGGATGATTTCATGAAAATTGATTTGGAGCACGCCCCCTTGACGATGGCGAGTGGCAAGTGGTAAGTGGCAAGTGGCAAGTGCTACTGTACTTAATTGCAACTCACCCGAAACTGATGCTCCACTGGACAGTCCAGGTTCAGGGCATAATCCTCGACAACGGCGCCCAGCGATGAGTTGGCAGATGCCTCGCCAAAAACCTGCTCGATTTTAATGGCCGGACTCAGCAGCGTGTTGCCAGATGCAGTTCCCGTTGCAGTCACTGTTCTCGTTCCCGTTCCCGTTCTCGTTACCGTTCCGGTAACTGGATTTATGCAACCGACGGCGGCAGCTGCAGCGGCTGCAGCAGCGGCGGCCGCAGCGAATGTGCCCTCGACAATTATTGGCGTTGCCTCAGCTGCGTTTTGGCCAAGTCCAAGACCGAGTCCAAGTCCAGTTGCGGCATGATTGCTGCTGCTGCTGGTGCTGGTGCTGCTGTTGCAGGGTGTACAGGGCGTGGGCGGGCAGGGCGTGGCCGCATGTCCCTCGTGATAGGGTGTCACAACGAACGAGGGATACGATCGGAACTGATGGTAGTCGGTGTGTGGATGATGCGACAGCTGTGGTCCTTTGTACCAGGTACCATGCATAATCATTTAAACAGATCAACTGCGGCGTTGTTCAACACTGCGTTTTGCACTTTGCACTTTTAGTATTAGCAATATTTCATTTATTTGCCACTGTTTCGTCTTTTCAAGCACTTTTGTATTGCTTTTTGCTTTTGGTAAACCATTTGATTTTTTTTATTGCAGGATGGGACAACTATAGACTTTATATTTAGATGAAAATTGGATATATTTAAATATGATAGAAATAATATTTGTAGTTCCCTTTTGCTTTAGGTTATGTAGTCGCTTTCGTTTTAGGCTTAGCTTTCGCATGCAGATAACAGCTGATGTATTTTAATTTTCATACTTTGTCTAAAGTTCCTTTAGTACATCTTTATAATCTCTAACTCCAAATTCTATATATTCCTCAGCTCTTTAAGCGAGTTTATATAAGATATGCTCAATAAATAAAGGCTATATTCTATTGATGGCATCCAATTCTTTCTATTTCTATGGAACAGACTTATATAATTGGTCTGCTAACTTTGAAAAAATGTTCAGCAAAGTTAGCAGATATTCCGTCTATAGACAGGATTCCATATGACTGATTCATTGAAAACTGATTTAGCCAAACTTAAATAAAGCCTTAGCTACAAGCAATTGGCTTGTTTGAAATTAATTTTACCGAATTCTTAGAAATAATTCCATAGAAAGATTTTACATATATTCGATAAATCTGATTAAAAAACAAAAAAAAAGAAATAATAATATATTGAATAGAAATTAAAAAGTTGTGTTATTTTGTTAACATTATTTAACCACAAGCTAACGTTACATTACTTTAGCATTTATTTTTAATTCCTTTATAAATGATTAACGAGTAGTTTAAAACACAAATTTACAGGATAATGAATACTTGAAATACATCGCTCTAACGTTCTGGATACTCTATTTCATGTAGACCCTAGTCGAATCCATTCAAATACTCACATTTTATTTACTCTATTTAATTTGTAGCCCAGTCAAATCTATTTGAAATACCCACGTCTTAAGTCCTCTATTTCATTTATAGCCCAGTCTATATCTATTTCGAATACTCGAATTCTGATTACTCTAATTCTCTCAGACCCTATCCAGAAATATTCTAAATACTCTAAATAATCCCGATATCCCACAAAAATATACTTGACTTTAGCATTTATTATTCGTAAACAGGTATTTTTATTTACTTGACTTTCACTTTGAAGCAGTCCACAATTGAAATGCTTGACAATTAGCACTTTTGTTATTCTGAGTGTACTCAAAATGGCGTCACAATATTCATTCACTTTTGACCGGCGATTCATTCACAAACGATTCATTACATTCGTTTTGACTGCACTTCTTCCACTTTTTTTTTTTTATTTGGTTAGCTTTTTTTTCTTGTTGTTGTTGTGTTTCACAATATGCACTTGCACTTGCTTCTTGTTTTTTGGTTGTTGTTGTTGTTGTTGTTGTTATGGTTGGTGCACTTTTTAACGCGCTTGTTAATTGTGGATGCAGAGCAAAGCCAGCTGCAACTGCGGTATGGCGAAAATGCGTTGCACTTGGCGACTGCAACAGAATTCTTGGCGTAACGCGCGAGCACAAAAAAACGCTCGACTCTTGGCAAACGCGCGCGAGACTGTTGGATATTATTGGTAACTGGATACTGGCTAGTGGCTAGTGGCTACTGGTCTACTGGGCTGCTGCCTGGTACAGTGGCTACTCGATAGTCTGTGGCCCGGTCTCTTGGCGCTGGCAAAAAAATTGCTGCCAGCTCGCAAGAATTCCGAACTCGAATGCTGACTGCGGCGACGAAAAAAACATTCAAATGCCTTCGCCGCCAAATCGCAGCCACTGCGACGACGTCGACGGCAGCAGTGGCCCCACTCACACACACACGCACACACACACACACAAACACGAAAGCACATATACACGAGGGCTCTCTCTTCGGGCGCTGTGCGCTCTCGCTCTGATGATGCAGCTTTTTCGGCAGAGTGAATTGGGGGGAAGCAGCGACGGCGGCGCATGCGCATCTTTTTACTCCTTTTTGGCGCGCGCAAGCAAAGCAAATAACAACAAAAACGACAGCAAAAACCGCGCGCTCACTCTCTCACTCTCTCACGCTCTCTGCTACAACAGCAGCAGCAACAGCAGCTGCTGTATTGAAAAAAATTGTTTGTGGTTTTTGCTCAGCTGCGCTCTTGAGCAGCTTTGATTTGATTGTGTGCTTTTTGCTTGAGTGCTTTTGCTCTTTGAGCATGAATGACCATGCTGCCACTGCTGCTGCTGCTATTGTTGGGCTTTGCCAGTAGGCGTAGGCGTTTTCCAACAAAAATGGAAAGTTCAAGCCAAACCGAACTATAATTAACTGCTCAAGTAGGCGTGTCATTCATTATTTATTTTTGTTTTGTCAAATTTGTAAAATGGTGTAGGGTTTTCTTTTCGGCAATCCATAAATTCCAAATTCTTTATTAATCTTCTTCATGGCAGATCCCAATGCTCAGGATGAGCCGCCGCCAGACGATCAGCAAGAGAACGGGGAAGATCAACCGCCTGCCAATGAAGAAGAACCACCCCCGCCGCCACCCCCAGAGAACCCGGAGGAGCCACCGCAGGCCAACAATGACAGCCCACCGCCAGCCGAAGATCAACCGCCTCCCGAAAACGCGGAAACCCCCCAACCACAGCCCAATCCCGAAGACCAGCCCAGACCCAGCAACCGAAGGTCCACCAGAAGGCGGTCCTCGATTAAAAGCAATAACGGGCGCAATGACAATATCTTATATGGATTCCGCATATTCCGTACTATAGTTCTGTTTGTGGTGGGTTGCAGCATCACCTGCGAGCTGACCGGCGTCGTCCTTTGGCGTTGTCTAGAGAGGAGCCGTGGTTAAGACCCAACATTTGGAAAATCGATATTTTTCTTTTTTTTTTAAGCTTTCCTTCCAGCATCTAAGTTGTTCGAAATGAAATAAAAGTTGTCTAAGACTCAATCCGATCGATGACTTTATATCCTTAATATCAATTATATACATATGATAATAATATATACACATAGTAATATACATATCTCGAGAAAAGGAGATTCTGAGATCTTCAGAAAGGGGGGTCTCTGTATTATTTAGAAAATAGATTATAATTTTAGTTGTGTTTAAAGTCTTCTCAGATAGATAATTTATAAAACAATATATCAAGACATATATCTAAGTTCTAATCAGAGCCCCTTTTCTCCTACAGTACAAATGAAGCTATATACGAAATAATATCATATATATATTTGTATATTATATCACATAACTAAAAATCTTAACTGTATCTTTATAAAAACCACAGTGAAACTTCTCCATTTCAGGGTTATTCTCCGACAAAAGTGGGCGTAGAACAGCAAAAAAAAAAAGACAACAACAAAAGCATCCGCAACGTTGGACGCACATTAGCCCATTGACCAACTTTTGCGGATCGGGCAACAATAATGAGTTTTTAATACATGTAATATTCAAATTAAAATTTTAGCAAAAGAAAAAAAGGCAGTAAAAGCCGTTAGCAAAAACGAAAATCAAATACATAAGCGCGTTTTTTCTTATTAGCTTTCATTTTTTTCACGCGGCCAATAATCGCACGTATTCATTTCAAGTGCACATAAAAACACTCAAACGAAAGCTCAAGAGCAGGCGCTGCAAAAAGCGCGCTCTTAAAAAAAAACGCCCGAGCGAGACAACAGGCGGCAGCAGCAACGCAGTCAGCGCCGTGGGAGCGAGCAGTGCAGCGTGTGCCAAAGGCGGCGGAATTTTTATTGGAGCACTTGACGTTGCTTTTTTTTTTTTGTCGATTTCATTCGTTTTTGTTGTTTCTCCGGCTGCTTGCCTTTGGATTGGCTTTTTTTCTTATATTTTGCGTAGCGGCTGGCAACGTTGGCATTTTTTTATGTGCTGCTGCTCTCTTCGCTCTTTTCTATGGCTGCTTTGGTTGTTGTTCTTGAAGAATTGAAGAAGACTTTTCGGCTCGTTCGCTGCGCCGCTGCGACAACTGCAACAATTCCGTGGGGAAAAAGCGCCCGCATAAAATTAAAAATTAAATAAAATATAGAAAATAAGGGTAAAATAAAGCAAGAAAAACAACAAGGCACTCGAGCTGCATGGCATTATGCAATGGCAGGTTAGTTAATCAATGCAACTGCAACGTTGCCACCTTTGGGGATTATGCCGCGCAGCGCGTCCAATTCAAGCCCAGCTCTGGTACACATGGAGCTCTACAAATGGAATGCGAAACGCTCGCAATGTTGTAATGCTTGCCATTTTTGCATTACTAGGAAATTGCTTTATTTAGCGCTCGATTTGCAAAGCCTCCGACGGCAAACATATGTATGTACATACATATAAAATATAAAGTCCAATTTATTCTATGCACATGCCCGAAGCTTATCGGCTAATTTGATTATTTCATTCAATCAACAGCAACAGCAACAACAACTGCAATTAGTTTTGTTTTCCCCCTTTTTTTTTTTAAATTATATTTTCATGTTCTGTCATTTGCTTAGTGCCAACATTTGTGCTCCATTCATTGGGTTCGTGCTAAATTTCCATTTGTTTGAGCGCCATTAAAACTCGCCTTATCGCCCAACGCGGCTGTCATTTCAATTGTTTGCACTGTCATCAATGCAATTTTTACCAGCTCTGTCATAAAGAAGGAAGGGCCGATATAAGTGAATCTCCATTGATAGATCCTGTAATGGGTTAATAATGGTTGTAGATAGCATACACAAACTGCTGTGTAGACCCTGAGAATGGATGGATACTAGACGCATAACTTACAAAGCTATTAAGATAGACCCCACAGGTATGGATTAGCAGCTATCATCTTAGTATAGAGTATGAGATGACAAAGAATTTTATTTACAAATCATTTGATTATAATCTAATTTATTTGTTTTTGTTTAACTGATTTATATTAAGGCGATTCAGTCCAAACTAAATCAGTCCAAACTCTATTTCTATATATAATCTCTATACACACACTGACTGACTGATTGACTGACTGATTGACTGACTGATTGACCGACTGATTGACTGGCTTACTGACTGACTGATGGGACAGGGATTTTGGGAACTTAGGTATATAAATTAATCAACATTCTCTATTTGAAATTATTTAAAACGTAGATCAAATCGATAATACAAAATCGATATATGCTATAATCGTATTTGGAAGTTAAAGTTGAATAGTTCATTGTGTTTATATTAAAATTGTGTTGGAACTATCAATGTGTAACAAAAACAGCACAAAGACATTAAATTGAGGCGATTCATCAATATTTCTATGCCAAAATAGGGCTGCCAGATTTTGCAATTTTTTTCAAATTGAAATAAACTTTGGATCCCAAGTATTCTCTATTTAGAGAGCCTTACCAAAATAGTTACTTCTAGTTTATACAAAATGTAAGAAACTAGTTATATCTACTCTTCCCCAATTAAAAAAAAACCCAATTAATTTTGTAAATACTAAGCCAATATAATAGAAAAAGATATGAATTACTTAATTTTTATAATGCATTTTTTGTCCTCTTCATAGTTTGCTTGCAATATTTATAAGATCACATATACAAATATTTTTAATCAGAAACGGCTCGAATTTAAATACTTTTTTTTTTTTTTTTGAGTGCTCTAAATGATTTTAAGTAATTTGCTTCCTGAAATACACTGAAAAAACCAGCAGATGCACAAAACGTTTTGACTTTTAAAACTGCTGCTGATAACGTGCAATTAACAGGGGAAACCGCAATGGGAAATCTTCGAAAATGCATTTTGTGCGTATTCAACAACTTATCCGTATTACAAAATTGCAGGGCCCAACCGCAGCTGGACTGGAATAGGATGGAGACAGACACAGCTGTGCGGCGCCATTGACGATGCGAGCGAAATGTCAAAATGCAAAGCCGCAACAGTTATGCTGGTGGAGAGGCAGCCGGAGCTGGAGTCAGAGCTGGAATTGGAGCTGGAGTCGGAGCTGGAGTCGTCATGGTTGGTCATGGACGCCAAATTGGTTGACAGACAGACTGGCAGCGCGGCAATGGCGCAGGGGCAGCGCTGCCATAGGGCTGGTGCACCTACGAGCCATTAGAGGGGAGCGGCTGCGAGGGAGCTTTTTGTGCTCCGCCTCGTTTTTGTGCGCACATGGCAAGCAGACTGGTCCTAGCCGCTTTTTGCCGATTGGTGGAAACGGGTTCAAACCAGTCGGCGAGCGAGATGGCAACACCGCACACGGGTCACGCGCAAGTGCGAGCGAGCCGCAAGACAAATGGACTTGAGAAGCCGCGTCATGTGGGGCTGTGCGAGTGAGAGAGCGCGTCTGCCAGTTAATAAGCTGTGGAAGCGAGAGCGCGTTAAGCTTAAGAGCATGCAGCGAGAGCGCGCACACACACGCTCTGCCGCTCGCTCTCTCTTTAGACGCTCTTAGTTGACAATGCTGAAAACACGTGTTGTTGTTGTTGGCGTGCAAAATATTCGAGTTTTTGTCTCTTATCGGTCGCGTATTTTGTTAATTTAATTAAACAAAAACGTTTTGTTTGTGTTTTTTTTTTGTAGCTGCCGTAAACTGCTTTTTGTGCGCGCAGAACTTGCAATTGGAATCAGCGCATTTGATTGCCCGTCGCGTCGAGCAGCTCGGCACAACTTTGAATATGTTGAGCACTCACACAAACAGAGAGAGAGAGAGAGAGAGAGAGGGAGAGACAGAGAGAGATATGTTGTTGTTGTACATGTTGTATTTGTTATTTAATGAC